GCCTGTTTAAACTTAACACACTTGGTGTGCGTGCAGGGTCTGCTGCCATTTCTATTGGAATGTCTGTGTTTTAAGGATGCGTGTATGTTTGTATATATGTGACCATATGTATATACGTTTATGTGTGTGTGTATACACACACCATATCTTTTACAATAGTTGACTCACTGTGATGTATAAAGTAATGAATCTGACTCAATGTATTTCAACCTGTGATTGGAACTTTCTAATTGATTTCGGGCTGTTTTATCTTCTCTAAAAATAAGTTTTGAATTTTTTTCAATTAGAGTTGCCCCACACACCTTAGTTTCAGGGGTACAGCGTAGTGAGCAGACGTTGGTACAGCTTGCAAAGTGATTCTGTTTCGTCTTTTATCTCCATAAGCAGAATCGCCCTTCAGAAACGCACGGCGGAGTGTTCTTGAGAGTGAGACTGTGTTCGTGACTTTTATTCATTCTGTCCTTTACGAAAGTCCGTTCTTGGGACGTTGCCCCTTTTCCCGCTGCTTTGCTGCCAGTGCCTGGGAGAGAATACAAATATTTTATAATAACTTTCTAAAAATATGTTTATTGATCTCAGAGAGGCAGGGAGAGAGAGATTGAAACATCAGTGATGAGAGAGAATCATGGACCAGCTGCCTCCTGCACGCCCCACACTGGAGATCAAGCCCGCAACCTGGGCATGTGCCCTTGACCAGAATCGAACCCGGGACCTTCCAGTCCGCAGGCCGACGATGCTCTATCCACTGAGCCAAACCGGCCAGGGCTATAATAATATTTTAAGGTTGATTTATCGTCTTTGCCTGCTTAGCCCTGAGCAGAAAGGCTCTAAGTATTTTGCCTTCATTTGAAAAAATGAAAACAAATTTTTTAGATGTCAAGGTTAGAAATGAAATCTCCAATAGCCCATATGGGGGAGGGGGGAGCCACTTTGCTTAAATCTTTGTTGCACACCTACTGTGTGCCTGGCACGGTGCTGAGCCCTGAAGGGTCGGATGATGAAGACTAAGCCACGTTCTCCACTGTGTCCCAACTTACTGTGTTCTCTTGTGTTGATTCCCAGCACGCAGTGGGAGTCACACCTACGCCCACGTAGGTCACCAGCCTCGTTGAACACGGTGATGGTAGCAGAGCCCTCCTAGAGCAGGTGTGGGTCCGCCTGGCAGTGTGCCCTCCGGGGCTGGGGCAGGGTTAGGATGGGCTCGCCTGGGTCACCAGGCCTGGACGTCAGCCCTTCTGTGCTTCAGGTCCAGGCCAGCGTTCCTCGCCTCCCTCCCGCAAGCCCACTCGTGCTTCTTTCCTTTCTCCTCCCCCAGAACCCTCGCTCCTCCTCCCTCTCTCCTTGGCTCACCCTCCAGCCCCACCACCGCTAAGAGAAACGCTTTAGGGAGGGCCACACTGAGGCCAGAGTCACCCAGCAGGAGTATTTGCTCACATTACAGGATCAGCGCGCGCTGTGGGGTTTCTCAGGGAAGGAGCCGGCTTCAGGGGGTCCGTGTTGTACTGACTGTTTGGGTTCAGGGAAGAGTTCCTTCGACGTGTCCGTCTGGCTCTGCCGTCCCGCCGTCTGCCTTGGTTCTGTGGTGACTTGGCCTCTTCTCGCCCTCCTGTGTGAATTGTATGCGTGTGAGGACACAGCGTACATCAGCGGTTCTCAACCTTCTGGCCCTTTAATACAGTTCCTCATGTTGTGACCCAACCATAAAATTATTTCCGTTGCTACTTCATCACTGTCATGTTGCTACTGTGATGAATCGTCATGTAAATCTCTGATATGCAGGATGGCCTTAGGCGACCCCTGTGAAAGGGTCGTTCGACCGCCAAAGGGGCCGCGACCCACAGGTTGAGAACCGCTGGCCTACCTGCATGAGACATAGCAGCCACTTGTCACTCGCTGCTTCACTTGCCTGAGATTTGATCGTGGGCTCCGGCGCCGGTGACTGTCCCAGCTTTGCCCCTGAAGCCCGTGCTCACGGCGGAGCAACGCTCTGTGGGAACTTCCGTGGGTGCTGGTTTAAGCACAACCTCCGTGGGTTCATTTTCTTGGAAACTTGAAAAATACGCCCGCAGTGCGAGGGCCGGACAGCCGGGAGGGAAGGAGCCCGCCTGTCTGCCTCCTCAGCCCCTGCTCCTCCCGCTGCTTCTCCTCCTGGGGCCCCGGCTTTGTTCTCACCTCAAGGCCTGCGGGCGCCCGTCTGAGAGGCGCAGACAGAGGGCAGTGCGGGCGCAAAGAGGGACGGAAACGAGTGTGGCTCTTCCAGAACGTCCCAGAGCAGAGGCTGTCCGATCAGTAGGCAGACACTGCGTGTTGAATGTTCCAGAAGAGAGAGGGCCAGGGAGGAGGGGAGACCCTGCCGGCCCACTGGGCCTCACCTCCTGGCGTGGGCACTTGGGGGGCCTTTCCCAGAGGAGGGCGGGGCAGAAGTATTTAGGAACTATACGCCCAGCCCTTAGAATTCCGTAGTTAGAGCATAACTTTGTCAGGTCTTTTAAAACATTCTTATGATTTCCTTCTATGCCGTGGTCCTGTATTACACCTCCTACCCCCATTAAATCCGCAGACGGGCCGTCTTCTGAGCAGTTACTTTAGCTTTGGTGGGGCTTCTAGTTCCAATTTGTCCTCTTTTCCTCATCCCGTACCCTTCACGTCACTCTTGAAATGTGTGTGATGAAGGTCCGTTTGCGTGTTGTGTTGACACCTGCCTCAAACTAAACCTCCAGATCATCTTCGTCTCGATCTTGAAGAGGGAGTCATGTCGGCGTCCGTGGCGATGAAAACGCAAGACTTACACCTGAGGCCTTCCGGGCCCCTGAGGTCTTTGTTGTGGATTCTTAGCAAATGCTCCTCGCCGTCAATAATTCAGGGGCTATCGTCTGACTCCCATTCAGTGCTGCAGGGTGGCCCGGGCTCCGGTGCCCGCTGGGGAGGTGGCGGGGAGAAGTCGCCAGGCACACGGGTGCCTTGGAGCAGAGACCGCCTGGCGGCCCAGCTGTGGGCTCCGAGCAGCCCCCGAGTCGCCCGGAGCCTCCGTTTCTTTTGGGAAACACCACGATGCATTTGCTGTTCCTCATCACAGTATTAACACACAGATTCCCTTACGGAGCTGCTAGCGCGGGTCTGACCCTGTGTCCCCGGATGGACGGACGAGCATTCGTCTAGTTACGCGCACTGTGGGACTTGACCTTGAGGACGCACTCATGCTGATTAGGAAGGTGCGGTGAGCAGGCCGCTGCTGGCGCTGCCTGTTAGGACGGAGTGGCGTTGGTTTTGATCTTCCCTACACGTTTTTCCACTAAGAGTGACACATGGCAGTTGGCACCAAAGATAAAGACTTCCACCTCGAACAGCCCCATCTCGCTCCGCAGTCGTGACTTTCACATGGAAAGTCTGCTGGTTTCTTACCTCATCCCGTCTCCTCCTTTATGACCATCCAACTAGATTCTATCAGCCCACCCACGGGTGGCTTTCGCGGGAGAAGGAGTCATCACTGATGAAGCTGGCTAACGTTTTAATTTCCGTACGCCAACTACAGGGACTGGATAGTGAGTACATTTGTGGCAGGTGAAGGGATCCCAGTGATGGAATTGATTCTGAGTCTCCGTTTATATAAGCAGTCGAGTGAATATTCACTCCGATCATCTCCAAATGGCGATAAACAGCCCAGGAAGTCGGGTGCCGTTATTAAGAACTTCATTGGCTCTCCTTTCAGGTCTGGATGCCCGTCGGAGGCCCAGCCTTTTCACATGGAAAGATTTAGATGTCTTTGTGTTCCAACAGAAGGCTTGTCCGTGAAATACTGGACTGGCTTAGAAACAAGGCGTTGCTATTTGAGCATCCCTCCTACCAGAGTTCCCCTCCGGCACTGTGTCCTACGTCAGACCTGCAGGAAGGAGGGCGCTCATCCTTCCTACGGCACCTCCATCCACGAGGGAGGTCTGTGAGCAGGGGCCAGGCCATCGTTAGAGGGAGGAGTTCCTGAAGTTCTGTTAAAAACACTGCTTGTGCGCAGCTGGTGTTGCTCAGTGGTTGAGCGTTGGCCTATGAACCAGGAAGTCACAGTTTGATTCCTTAGTTGCAGGCTTGATCCACAGTGTGGGACATGCAGGAAGCAGCCAATCAATGAATGTCTCTCATCATTAATGTTTCTATCCCCCTCTCCCTCTCCCTTCCTCTCTGAAATCAGTAAAAATATATTTTAAAAACACACACACACACAAAATACCACTTGTAAGACTTAACACAGTTGTGAAAGTTTGGCAAATTATTCACTGTCTTCATTGAGATAGAAGTTGTACAATGTAAACAGATTTGAGAATAAAGTACGAGCAGGAAAAATGTATTTACTGCTCATTATTTTCGGTGATTAGTGATAGCAGAAGTTTATGGACACACGCGTATATCAGATAACGTGTGTCATCTTTTCTCGGCGGTAAAGGTAATACTTCAGAGTTGAAGTTGCTGGGTACAGTCATCATCCCTCAGTATCCGTGGGGGATTGGTTCCGGGACACCCCCTCTCCCATGGGTGCCAAAACCTGTGGGTGCACAAGGACCTATGTGAAACGGTGTATATCAGCGCACAGTCAGCCCTCCACATCTGCGGACTCCCCACCGTGGACTGAGAAGAATGTTTTCGATCCACAGCTGGTTGAACGTGGGGATGCGAAGCCCGTGGACAGGGGGGCAGCTGTGTTTGTCCAGCGCCGTGTACCACGCAGCGTAACATAGGCCGGGACCTCACGCTCGCTCAGAACCTGGGAGACAGGGAACCGGGAAATGAGAGCGGCTGGCAGGGCGGCTAGAAGAGGTCCATGGGGGGGAAGGGCGCTTATGTGATACTTTCAACAATAAAAAAATTTTATATATATATATATTTATTGATTGATTTCAGAGAGGAAGATAGAGGGAGAGAGATATAGAAACATCAATGATGAGAGAGAATCATGGATTGGCTGCCTCCTGCACGCCCCCTACTGGGGATCAAGCCCACAACCCAGGCATGTGCCCTTGGTCAGAATCGAACCCGGGACCCTACAGTCCACAGGCCGACACTCTACTCACTGAGCCAGACCGACTAGGGCAACAATAAAATTTTTTAAAAAATAAACAAGAATGGCCGTGTGAGCAACATATGTATAAACCGGTATGTTGTAAATAGCCCTTAAAATAACCATTACATTGTCTTAAGACAACAATGATCGTTTGTAAAATCTTTAAAACCATCACTAAAAATAATAGCTAATTTTTTTTCTTCTCAGTTCTATTTCGGGCACTAGGTCAATGCTTTCCATCACTTTCTACTTTGGTACCTGAGTTCCCGATTTTTCACGATAATCATTCTTGCGATCATCTGACCGGTGGGGACACTGAGGCACCGGGCAGCTCCTCGCGCCGCAGGCAGGCGGTGGCCCCGGGACTGAGGGCCAGCGCCCTGGCCCTGGGCTCACGGCTTCATGCTGCCCCTGCTGATGTGTTAGTCATGTGTTTGCAAACAGAATTTATGAGGAGTAGCCGCAGGTCCTACGATTGTCACATAAAACACTTCACTTCGCTTAAAAACGTAACTTTCCTTGCAGAATAAACGCCCGCCCGCCGTCCATGCCGTTTCTCAGTCTCTGTTACCCGCGTGCGGCCGTACGGCTGAGTGACTGTGAGTTACGTCCGGGAAGCCCCCTGCCCCTCTGAGCCCCCCGAGTGTCCGCTCTCCCCTCTGCGTCTGTCCGGCCGGGCGGCGGATCCACTGCCTTACATGGTCACGGGGAGACGGGAGGTCTGTGTGGAGGAGGTGGGAGCGGAGCTGGGAGCACCCCCTTTCATCCTCCGGGACCTCAGTGTGAAGTGGCCCAGCGAACGTTGGTTGGGGTACGCAGTGCCAGGCCCTGCTGGCCCCTGGGGTACAGGGAGCGAGGCGCAGTGCCACCCACGGCCTGCCCTCAGCTGGCTGATCTCCAGGGCGACTCTGAGTGCATGTCATTTGCCAAAACCCTCCGTTCTGGGCTGGGGCTTGACTCTGGTGCTGGCCAGCCCTCCCCCCCCACCCCCAACGGCCGGTCCATCCCCCAGAGCTGGGGGGCAGGGGTCAGTCAGCCCCCGAGGGCTGGTTGGCCACCTTGTCCTTTTTTTAAGCCTCAGCAACACCACCACTCCTACCGCCTGCCTCGGAGTGTGGCCTGCACACCCGCCCCTCGTGCCCGGGTCACTGTGCTGTGGGACTGACAGACAGACGGGCTTCTCCCGGGGGAAGGACTAGGTGTTTGCACCCACAGAACCCCGCCCCGGTCCTAGGCTTTCGTTTTCCCTCAGTTGACACTTGTGCCTGGTAACCCCCTGGGGCTGTGGGGGTTGTTTTTCTCTCTGAGGCGGGACTGGACGGGTAGGTAACAAATGGCAGTTGGCCGCTGCCCTGAGCAGGGGTGGGGAGGTGAATTCCCCCAAATCACTCGGTCTGGCCCTGCCAAGGCACTGGGGGGAGTTAATGCACTGTTGGACCCAGGAGAGCAGCTGATGTTTCAGTTGAGAATTGTGTACGGCCCGGCCGGCTGTGATGATGTTATAAATCTCCCAATGGCCCTTGGCAGGGAGAAGGCTCCCGCCCCTGCCCGAGGGGAGCGGCCGCTGAGCTCATCGCTGGAGGGACATCAGAGCCTCAATTATGGGCCGTAGAGCCTGCCCTGCCATCCCAGCTGCTTACTCACTTCCCCTGTGAGCAAAAGTCAAAACAGATTTCCTGACGTACTGGGGTACGGGGGGGGGGGGTGGGGGGGATCATAGGAGAAACAGCCGGGGAGCGCTTACCCCGACTCCATTCCAATCGATCGATCGATCGATCGTATCTGCGGCTCCCGCTGGTGCCCATCCTCCTCCGCTCCGCAGGCTGGGACCGTGGATCTGTGAGCTCCTGTCGGCGAACTTCCGTCTGGGTCAAGGGTCTGCATGGTTCTCTAGAACTTAGGCTGCCACCCACGGTCTTCAGACACTGAGGGTCGTTCAGATCTGTTATCAGGAAGATCCCTGCAGATGGCAGGACCTGGAGGACGCTCTTAGCCTCCCTGGAACCCTCCCAGCTCCCAAGTGGAGGGGGCGGGTGAGGTCCGGCTGTGGAGCGAGCAGAGGAGGCTGTGGGCAGGCCTGCGGGCACTAACCTGCCCTCCTGGGGCTTCTGTGGACGGTGCGTGGAGAAGGAGGAGATGAGCTAGTCCCCTGGCCCCCAGCACACACTCCTCCCGTCTCTCCTGGATGCTTCCTTTCCATCAGTGTCTCTTCCCATCGCCCTCCACATCGCTTGCCTTTGTGCGTGTCTCCCACGCACCCTTCTGGAAAGCCTTTCATTTCGGGGCGTGTCCCCCTGCTTTCAAAGGAATTTCAAATTCCAGTTCTGTCCTCCTGGAATGCTAACTTTCTTAAGACATCCGAGCCTGTATGGTTTGCACCTTTTAAAATCGTAGCGTTGGGAAAAATGAGGACTGAACAAAGCCTGACAGACCAACGGGTGCGAGGGCGTGCGCCATCCGTGCGAACACGCGCAGCGGGAGGTGAGATCGTGTGCCAGCGCCCCAGAACTCACCAGTGGCTCGGCCCCGATGGAAACTCTGTTTTCTCGAGTCCTCGGGAAACCGTGTCTGAATTTAGAAACCTCCGTCGATGTCAGCACCCTGAGAAGCGCTGCGGCTTCCTGCCTCTTTAAAAGGTATTTGGGTCAGAGTTAGGAGCACCAGCCTTGTGATGTGGAATGCCCAAATATAGGTCCGTCTTCTTTAAAAATAACACGCCCTGGATTCATAAAGCCAGGAATGGTGTGTTTCCTGCGATGCCAAGTGACTCTTTGACCCCAAAATGGCTCCGTTAGCGATGTCGATCGATACTTCTCAGAGCATTTCAAGCATAACTTGATTTAAAAATATTTTTATTTGGCCCGGCCAGGGTGGCTCAGGGGTTAAGCATCGGCCTAGGAACCAGGAGGTCACAATTCTGTTCCCGGTCAGGGCACACACCCGGGTTGTGGGCTCCATTCCCAGTGTGGGGCGTGCAGGAGGCAGCCGATCCATGATTCTCTCTCATCATTGATGTTTCTCTCTGTCTCTCCCTCTCCCTTCCTCTCTGAAATCAATAAAAATATATTTCAAAAATAAAATAAAAATGTTGATTTGCCTGGCGATCTGGTCAGCAGGAATTCACTGTGTATGTGGCTCATTCCCGGGTTCGACTCTCCACTCCCTGCAGCAGCCCAGCGCCCAGCAGCATTTGCTGAACGAATGAACCAGAGCGCACACACGCTTTTGAGCACACCTACTGTGTGCGTCAGAGTGAGCCAGCATGTTTACAAACCTGTGTCTCTCCATTTTTTTTTTTTTAATGCAAAAAGGTCAAGCCAGTAGGCATCTAAGACTCTTCAGAGGAGGTTTGTTCCCAGGGACGCGATTAAGGGTAGCAGGCATTTGGCTGTTGACACGGCTGGACAAGGCATTTTTATGACCACGTCCAAGAAGTCTGTAGTCAAGTTTATTGTCTATGGAGAGGCAGATGTGTCCGGTAGTTAACATCTGGGACCGCAGTTAGAGGAGTAGCTACAACGCCGGGTCCCTGTGGAGGGGGGGGTCACTTCCTTACATGGCTCCTGCCTTCTGGGCGCCCACTGCCCAGCCTGGGGCCGGCCAGGGGGAGGCCTGTGGGTGGACGGAGGCAGATCTGTCCCTTCCCTGGTGAGAGCCAGAGCCCGGGCAGCCTCCTGGTGAGGGTAACTCTATCCGGTGCCCAGTGGCCAGCAGGACTGTCACAGTGAATCCATTATCAGGTCGTTACAGGCCGGCCACCTCAGCCAGAGCCAGCTTCCGCTCTGAGAAGGTGCTAATGCTTCGCAGGGTGCGGAGGTTTCTGGTTTCAGACAGGAGGCCTCTGTGGGCTCCAGCGAGGGCTCCCATCCACAGCGCCTGGGCGTAGGCGGCTCAGCGAGCAGGTGCGGGCAGGCCTCCACCCCCTCGCTCTGCTGGGGTGTAGATCTGGGAGCCGGGGGGCCAGGGAGCGACAGACGGCCAGACAGCCCCGGGCGTGTGACATCGGAGATGCCCGCCCTACCTTTCAGTATCACACCAGCGACTCCCGTGTCAGCCGCGTGGGCTGCGTGACCCCAGGCCCATTTAATTCTCTGCCCCACACTTCCTCCTGCAGGAGGCCAGGGGAAGGCGTGCGGGCCCGTGTTCAGGTGTATTTCTGTCCGTCTCCATTCGACCCTTCACGTGTAAATATCCAAAAAGGCCCGATCTTGAAGGTGAAATAGCGCAGCGTGCCCAGGGTGTCTTCATTGATCTAATTGGCAATAAGTCTTTTCCTCTTCAAAAACAGCATCTCACAAAAGTTCAAAGGTTCAACACCAGGAAGCACAAAAGAATAGAAACAAAACCAACCTTTGCTTGTAACAGCATCACCTGGTCCGACCCCTGTAATGTTTGCTATGTTTGATTCCGGAACATTTCATTGCTGCTCCTCATACTTGTGCGAAAATGGCCTTTTCCCTGTAGAACTGTAACAGGGAACGCTTTCACTTTAATGCTGTTTTATTTATTTTTTTTAATCCTCACCCGAGGGTATGTTTTCATTGATTTTTAGAGAGAGGGGGGAGGGAGGGGCCCTGGCCAGGTGGCTCCGTTGGTGGGAGTTGGTTGCGGATTCAATCCAGGTCGGGGTGCATATGGAAGGCAACTAATCGATCTCTCTCTCTCTCTCTCTCTCTCTTTTTCTCTCTCTAAAAAAAAAATCAGTAAACATATTCTCAGGTGAAGATTCAAAAGAAAACTTCTTTTAAAAAATAAAATAAAAACCCTCCGTGATGTTTTAAAATATCCAAGAAATCTAATTTAAAAAAATGAATTCAACTATAAAAAACAGCAAAATTCTATCAAAATGTTCTCTTCCCCCCCCTTTTTTTTTCCAAGTTTTAGAAAAACATTCAGAGCGGAGAAATTGTGGCTGGTAGTCGCTGTTTTCATGGTCCCAGCTTGGGGATCTGATGAGGGAGCAGCAGATACGTTTTTCATGAAGAAAACGGAGAACAGAAAGGCCGTGAGGGCACTCACTCCCCCGCAGGGCCGGTGCGTGGGCTGGGAGCAGCGGTAGGAAGAGTGACATTGTGAGATTCAAGGTTAGGAAGTCACTGCGATTAATCAACACAGGCATTTTGAAACAACTAATTTTTTGTGTGTGTTTTTTTAAATATTTTTTTTATTGATTTCAGAGAGGACGGGAGAGGGAGAGAGAGAGAGAAACATCAATGATGAGAGAGAATCATGGATTGGCTGCCTCCTCCACTGGGGATGGAGCCCACAACCCCGGACACGTGCCCTGACCGAGAACCGAACCCTTACCCCCTGGTTCATAGGTCAATGCTCAACCACTGGGCCACACCGGCTGGACAGAAGCCTCCTTGTGTGATTGCTGTTTTTCGTAAGCTGCGAAATTAAGAATTTGATCTGAAAAGAAAAACCAATGCAGCTCAAGTGCCATTTCATTTTAGGAGCCTGCGGTGATGATTTAATTCTCCGCCTCCTTTCATCCGCTTTGTCCAAAGCACGTAGCGTCCTGTGACGGTCTGCCTGCCTGTAAA